GATGCTCAGGCCAGCGTCTTTTAAGCTACCGTATTCTAGTCATGAATTGAGTCCTGGCACTGCCATTAGATTTCTGTGTGACTATAAACAGGTCTCAACCCCTCTCTGGCCTTGATTTTTTTCAAGGATCCTTCCAAGTCTTGATTCTATTATTATTATAAGATGCAGGGTTTTATGCAGCTCCTCCCATGAGAACGTCTGGTATTAGGTATGCCCACTATCATTATCATTCTCTCTCTCCTCTCTACTGTCTCTCTCTCATCTCTCTTTGTTTCCCTCTTTCTTATGTCTCTCCCTATCTCTGTCTCTATCTTTTTGTCTCTTCCTATCTCTATCTTTTCTCTCCTTCTCTCACCCTATGTCACCCTCTCCCTCTCCCTCTCCCTTCCACCTTTCCTCCCCCTCTCCAATTCTACCTCTCCTCCCTCTTTGTCTCTCTGTCTCTTCCTTTCAGCCTCTCTCTCTTCTATGTCTCTGTCTCTGATTCTATCTCACTGTCTCTGCCCCACCCCCAACCCTAGGGTGTGAATCTGGCTGAATAGCTTCCAACCCAAAATAACTCTGATGCTTCCTGAGTGTTGCTGGTGAGTAAAGGTAGAAATGAGGTCCCTCTAGGGCCTCAGGAAGCTCAAATCCCCCACCCCTCTCCTCAGGAAGGGTTCAGAGATCTTAGAAGGAAAGCAGCAGGATAAAGGGTCTCATAGCAGGGCCATCTGGCTTCTACCCTCTAGCCTTTCACCCAAAGAGAGAGCATTGCTCTTAGATCACAAAGGCTCTCCATCTCCTAGATGATCTGAGCCAGAGATTCTTAACAACCGTTTACTCACTCTTCCCACTCTCCCACTTCATCACTTTACAGATGTGAAAACTGTGGCTCACAGATAGGAAAGGAATGGCCCCACCACCCCACAGCCAAGTAATGGAAGAACTGGTACTAAAATGCTGGTCTCCTGACTCATAATCAATTGCTCTGAAAAGACTACAAACTTGATTCAACACCATCTCAACACAAAGTGTTGAAAGGCACTTTTCAAGAACATTTTGCTAGAAGACTGGGGGTAGTGATGGGTGGGGTGGAGACTCCATAGATATACAGACTGTGAGCACTGGAGGGCAGGATACAGGTCTCCTTGTCTCCAATGAAAGCCCAATACAGTGTCTGGACGCAGCCCAGTGATAAATAAATGAGGGAGGGAGCTGCCATCCGTGCACTTGGGGGACACTAATGCTTCCTCTGGGACTCTGAGTATTTATGAGGGACACTCCAGAAGCTTGGAAATCAAAGGATCAAGGGATTTAGTCTGAGTGTGTTCTAAACTTGCTCTGTCAAGAGTTCTCCCCCTCCACCAACCCCCATAAATCTATTTCTTCTTTTTAAAAGGAGTAATGATATCTGCCTTATCTGGCTCCCTAGGGCTTAGAGCAGTTGCAATAAAAAAAAAAAAGGATAGGAAAGAGCTTTGACAAAAACAAGACAGCGCTCTGCAAATGTGATGGCTGGGTGCTATGGTGATGTCCCAGCTAGCAATTATGTTCTCGGCAACTGTGGGCGCCGAGTGAGTCATTCTCTCAGTCTCAAAGCCAGAAAGAGGCTTTGAAAGGGGAGACATAAGGTGAGCCTTTCGTTAAGAGTATTGTTTGTTTGTTTTCATGAAGGGAGGCTAGAACGGGAATGCACAGAGACCCCCACCACACATACATATACACTGTGCCCTAAATTCCAACCTTTTAGGGGCTGGACAGCCCACTTAAGCAAGGACTGCATACTCTCCTCTGCTGTTTAATTCTGAGATACCAAGTCCCAAAGCCATTGGGGTTTCTGAGGGATGAGAAGTTCGAATCCCAAATTCTTTTCAGTCCCAGTTGTACATCCAGCCTTGGGCTCTATTTCTGACTGTAACTATTAATAATCTACTCTGTGTCTTCAGGCAAATTGTATTCCCTCTCTGAGCCCTTTTCACCTGCAGTATACAGTATGATCTAGATACCTAATATTATCTTTCCAGAGTCCTAGATTTAGAATACCTGGTTTGAGTCCTAGCTCTGTCACAACAACTGTATGACCTTGGACAAGTATTTTCCCCCTGGGCCTCAGTTTCTGCTACTATAAAATGAGGTATTTGGCTTAGATACTTAGCACTGTGTTTCAAGAGTTCTGGGCTGAGATTCAGGAAATCTGAGTTCGAGCTCTAACTGCCACAGAGTGAATCATTGTCTGAGTTCAAATTGATCTCATCATTTTTCTGAGGCTTAATTTCCCTGTCTGTATCATGAGGGAATCCAAATATAAGTTATCTAAACACACCCTCTCATTCTATTGGGTTGTCAGAAGAGTCATGATGCATTTTTGCAACGAAAACCATAGAAAAAATATGCCATGGCTTTTCCGACAACCCAGTAACAGCCTGTGGTTCTCAAATTTTACAAGCACTGAAAAGGAAGTGAAGGGAGGTGGAGGCCACACCCAGAATAATTTCTCATAAACTAGCAGTGGTTGCCCTCTATAGGTCTGACCTGAAAGTGCAGGCCCAGGTAGATAACTGCTGAGGCAACTGCTGAATTGCTCAGGCAAGAGGGCAATACAGAAGACAACTAGATGCTTTACCAGATAGGGTCAGGCACAGACTAGGGTTGACTTGCAGACTTCCTGTTCTTGTCTTAATGAGAAGGATTCAGATAGAAGCATGTGCTGGGAGATTGTGCCTTCCTTCCTAGGCACCAGTAACAAAAGGCTTTCCAAAGCTATACAAATGGCATAGCCAGTAGGGTCTCTGCCATGGGTAAAGTAGGTTATATTTGGGGTGGGGGGTGGATCAATGTTTGGGGGTGGACTATGACTGTGCTGTGAAGGTAGGTATGAGAACAAGTTACCTCCATGGCTGAGAAGTTTTCACATGTGAAGCAAACAACTCTTTTTTTTTTTTTTTTGCTGAGCCATCCTGCCACCTGTTGACAGCTCAGCGGCTGCTCTGCTCGGGCCGGGACTCGAACCGCTGTTGCTCAGAGCTCAAACTCTTGAGCGAGCTCTTAACCAACTGAGCCACTCAGCCAGCCCTTCAAACAACTCTTTTTAACATATGGAGGGAGCTGCTCAAATTAAAGTGTTTTTCAGGGCCAGCCGAGTGGCGCAATGGTTAAGAACTGGCTTGGGACGCCAGAGGGCCCCGGTTCGGATCCCACATGAGGGCCAGTGACACTGCCCTCTACAGCTAAGA